CCCCTGCATCGGCAGGCAGACTCTCAACCACTGCGCCACCAGCGAAGCCCCCTCACTGTTTTATATTTACAGTTTTGGAGTGTCCATTGCCAGCACCCATTCATGCTTTGCCATTCTAATAGAGCTTCCTCCTCCCTCCAGAATCATAATAAATGGATTCTAATATCCTGCTCAGAAAGAGATAAAATACATGATCACATGAAGTATCTTTTAACTTTCCCTAACTAGCAACCTTGGATACTTCCTCCTCCATATCCTCATTGGGTTGTTAGAGGTTCATCAAGTAACATCTTTTCCCCACTTGAGTTCTGATCGAACTCAGAACAAAGGAGGCAGGCACATAGAAATCAGAACAGCTGTTTTGAGAGCTGTTGAAAAATGTGTCTGAGGGACAGTGACAACAGGTTTCCCCAGCCTGGACCCCACCCAGATATTTGTCCTACTGGAAGCGGAAGACTGCTTTCTGCAGGTACACAGTGCTTGCCACGTGGCCAGGAGCAGGCATCCCTCTAACGTCTCCAATGATCAAAGTAATCCCTTACCTTTTACCTCTAACAGCCCCTGATGATTTTGCAAAACTGTGCTATACAATACAATAGCAGTTGCCCAGAGTGGCCACTGAGCACCTGAAACGGGGCTAGTCCGAATTTGAGATGTGCTGTAAGAATAAAGTCCTTGAAGACGTAGTTTTAAAAAAATGTAGTATCTATCTCAATGCTTTTTATATTGACTCTATTTTGAAGTTTTAAAAATATTTGAATGAAATTCAAATATTGATTGAAATGAAATATTAAAATTAGCTTTTGCTGTTTCATTTTAATATTTAAAATATGGCATTATATTCCTGTTGGGCAGCACTGATCTAAAATGCCTGGACTCGGGTATAGGGCTTAGAGTCTCTTCAAGTTGATTTCATATTTAATGGTCCTGGAGGGGAAAGGTACTGCAGTTTTCCAGGGTCAGATTTGGGTTCTTGTCTCTCACATTGGTGCCATATGATCTTCACACTTCTACTATCAATATAAGCTGATACATACATTTCCCCTGTACATTCAGGCTCTTGTTAATGCATAGTCAAGGAAGACTCTCACCAGGATCCCCATCACCTCAACATGGGTACTTCAACTACTTTCTGCCTTTTTACCGCAGAAGTCCCACCTCGATAAGACAGACCACTTAGGAACTTGACATCCACAGCTAGCTTTCTCTTGGAATCATGATTCTGGCTTTATCAGTATGTTATCTAGGGACTTCCCCGGTGGTCCAGTGGCTAAGATTTTGCGCTCCCAATGCAGGGGGCCCGGGTTCAATCTCTGGTCGGGAAACTAGATCCCACACGCATGCCGCAACTGAGAGTTCGCATGTCGCAACAAAGATCCCATGTGCCGCAACGAAGACCCGGTGCAGCCAAAATTAAAAAAAAAAAAAAGTTATCTACTGACCGGCACCCAGTAGCCTTGCTCCCCAGCTCCTCTTCACATCTGTCTTATTTATGTGAGACTTGGGGGTTAATTTATTCTTAGAAGCACAGGCCTGGGGGTGAGATAAATTTCTGGGATTAGTAGTCCCACCAATTCTCTGTCCCAGGCTTCAGTGCACCGGTTTTCTCTATTTACCATATTGTCTTCATCTCAAAGTTCCCTAGCATTGCTTATCCTTTTCTTTAAAGTGTTGATTCATGGTGTGCTTCTATTAATTTGTGTGGTAAGTGTTCAATTCTCTTAAACTTAAATAGGGCTTATTTAAGCATCAGAGAGATTATTTCATTTTTTTGAAACCCCTTTTAAAGTATTTTGCCTTGTATCTTAAAGAATGTTGGCATAGGGACTTCCCTGGTGGTCCAGTGGGTAAGACTCTGTGCTCCCAATGCAGGGGCCCAGGTTCGATCCTTGGTCAGGGAACGAGATCCCGAGTGCTGCAGCCAAAAATAAAAAAAAAATAATAAAATAAAAAAAAGAATGCTGGCATACTTCCAGTTTGTCCAATTTCTGATTCGAAGATTTCACCCTACTAATGGCCATTCAGTGAAGCTAAAACCTCAAAATTTAAGACCTCCACTACTCCATACCTTATTGAGAGGTCAAATAGCCCTTTCCTCAGAATTTTTAGGAGATGGAACAGTACTCCACCTTTTAAAAATGCTCTGCAGATCACCAAATTTTAGAAAGGAACAAAGGGAGAACTGCTGACTTTATGTCCCCACTCTGTTTTGATTACCACTTTACTCAAAAGTCCATTCTAGTCTCATCTTGCTGACAATGGCAGAGTATCTTAGGGGAATACCTGACATTCAATTTACTTTTAACAAGGCAATAAATTAAAGATTCAGAACTCTCAGAGACAGTCATCAGCCAAAAATCTGTCAGTAGTTTCTTTTATTTTGTACTTGACATTATTAAATAATGATATTATCCACTTCAGTAGATTCTGCACTGTTTTTCCTCAAGTTACTTTGAGAGTCCACATGTGAAAAGTCTTCCTGCCGCTTATCTGCTTTAAGAAAGGTGGATCAATAGGGTTGTGTGTAGGCTAGGGAAGGGTCTGTTTGGAATTCCAGCTTCTTGAATCAGACTTTTACTCCCAGGGAGAAATGCATGTTGGTCCACTGGGATTCATGCATGGCGAGGTAAGTTCCAGACAGCCTTTCAGAATCAAGTCCTCTTCTGGGCTTCACCTTAAGCAAATAGAAAGGGAATGCAAAGCCTAGAGTCAAAGCTGCCTGGTGCCTGACTGTCAATAAAATAAAAATATAGGACTGGGTCCAGGGACTAGCAGGGTTTTGGGAGTCGAGATTTCAAATTTAGCAATGTGGGGTCACCTCATGGCAGACCTTAAATATTCAGAGACGTTTTCATTAAACAGGGAGCTATTTTAGGTCTTGAGTAAGGCAATGATGGGCAGGAAGGGATCATTTGGAAAGACCAGCCTAACAGTAATATGAAAAATGTAACTTGTGACAGAGGCTGTTTATATTAACCAAATGCTGAGGTGCCTGTTGACTTTCCTAGTATCTTGGTGCTGGGTTCTGGTTTATGAGATATAAACAGAAGTGATGGCCCTGAAAAATATCCCAGCATACCCCCCAGCTTTCTCTTCCATGATGACCTTGGAGGCAACATGTTCTAAATGATGAGGATGAAGGAAGACAGACTCATATCTGAGTTTATGTGAGAAATGAATCTTTATTTTGGGTTCACTTATTGCCCCATAGCTTAACATCTCCCTCCTCAATAATGAAGAGGAAAGAATTCGAATCAAGGAGTGTCTACTGCAGTAATGGGAGCCTGAGATGATAAAGGTACAGGCTAGACTGTGAAATTCAGAGAAAGGATGTGAATCTAAGAGGTGTTTTAAATAGAACTTGGTAAGTCAAAGAGTCATTAATTCAGATAACTATTTATTGAGCACCTATTATTTGCAAGGCACTGTGTGAGATACAAAGACATGTAAGTCACAACTCCGAGTGCTTACAACCTGGTTGAGGAAATAATACATGTACATAAATTATAAAACAAACCTTATAGCATTATGGTAAAGAGAACAGACTTTGAAGGGAGACCTGTATTCAAGACCTGGCTTCACCTTTTACTAGCTGTCATATTGGGCAAGTTATTTAACTCCTCTAAACTTCAGTTTGCTCATCTGTAATATGTGGGTAGTAAAAGTACCTACTTCAGAGGGTTAGTGAGAGGAGCAAATAATCTACTCCTTGCAAAACTCTCAGCTGAGTGCTTGCCCCATAATAAGCGCTCAATAAGTGCTAGCTACTAGTAGTAGTATTAAGAGATCTAGAAGCTGGGACACAACAGAACAAGGTCAGTGCCCAAAAAGTCTCCGAGAGAGGGACTAACGGCTATAAAGAACTGTTCTGGAAACAACCGTATTGCTCTGACATTAGTGTGCCTTCCCCTCCTGCTGTGGCCTCCAGTTATTTAAAGTGTAGTGATACCTGGGGCCTAGGACGAGAGGTGTGTCTGAGGACGGCCTCCTAACGTTTGTCCCTATCGTCTGACAAACCTCTGCAAAATGCTGACTCTAAAGAGTCACATCCTAATTTCTGGCATCCCACATCAGCTCTATAACACAGTGGGTAGAGAATGTTCCTTCAAACACTGTGGTAACAGAGGCAGGTAAGGAGAGTAGTAGCCAGAATAGGTGCAATGACCGGGAGATGGATTTAAGTTGGGGAAGACCTATCTTGAGTTTGCATGGAGGTCCTTTAACTAAAGCTTTTGCTCAACTCAGTCTATTCCCTGTTTGGCATAACGCCTTTGATGTTGAATAACTGATGATTTGGAACTGAAAACCTTCCCACACACGCTGCATTCAAAGGGCTTCTCTCCTGTATGAACCCTCTGGTGTCGCGTAAGCCGGCACCTCTGGCTAAAGGCTTTTCCACATTCGTTGCATTCATATGGCTTGTCTCCGGTGTGAATCTTCTGATGTTGAGTAAGGGAGGAGCGGTCAAAGAAAGCTTTCCCGCACTCGCTGCACTGATAGCGAGGCTCTCCAGCGTGGGCTTTCTGATGTCTATTCAGTGATGAGACACCGTAGAAGGCTTTCCCACACTCGTTACATTCATACGGCTTCCTGCCCGTATGGATTAGCTGATGTCGAGTAAGAATACTTTTCTGGCTAAAGGCTTTCCCACACTGATTACATTCATAAGGACTTTCTCCAGTATGAATTCTCTGGTGTCGAGTAAGGGACGAGCGGTCAAAGAAGGCTTTTCCACACTCATTGCATTTAAAGGGCTTCTCTCCAGTATGAATTCGCTGATGTACAGTTAGGGATGAACGGTCGAAAAAGGCTTTCCCACAGGCATTGCACTCGTAGG